CCAGGATTTTGTTTCAGGATGTGCAGAACAACATCCACATCTGAAATGCTGCCTCTGGCAGGGCCATGGCACGAGTGCCAGGTGCCATCCTCTGCTGGGTATAGCAGGAATGAGGCACCCTGCTGCCATGTGTGTGTTTTGAAGCTGGTTCCTTCCATTTTGTTCCAGCTGGTAGATGCAGACTGTGATTATTCCTTTCAGGAAAGGGTCACTGAGATGTCCAAAGTTGTTGGAAGCAGATAAAGCACAAAGCTGCTACAGCACCCATGCACATTGTGCAGTGACACCTTCAGAGAGATTGCTACCTATAAAAAATGGGCTCAAAGCCTCAGGGTACTGAAAATTTCATTAATTCCTCAATGTTCTGTATTATTAGAAAAGTGGACTAACCCCAGCTCTCTTGGAAAAGTCAGGTTTTAAGAAAGGTGGAGACCAACATATTGTAAATGCCTGGGTCACACTCTATTGGAATTGCTTTGGCATCTCTAAACCTGTGGTGTTGAGAGGAATGTTTGGAACTGGTGTGTCTATGAAGAGGGCACAAAAGTGTTGGGCAAGAGTCTTTATTTGGAGGCAAATCCCCCACACACTGGAGTGTCCTTTCCACTATTACACAGTCTGGGATACCTCATCTCTCCAGCTGCTTAAATCAAAGGTCTGTCTGATGGAAAAAGAGTTGTAACAGAGAATCTGAGACTTTTCTTTTTCTCTTTTACTGAGCTCCAGGGTGCTTAAACTGCAAAATTCACAGCGAGGTACAAAGTTCTTAAGGACCACAATCTTTACTTCCAGTCTAGGTTTTCAAAGTTCAAACTGTCTCGCCAGCTGTTCCTTCATACTGATGCCTTTTTTTATTTTTACCTATTGATTTTGTTTGTAGTGAGATCATCTGTACCAAATTAAATAACCCTGTGCAGCCACTTCAGTGTACACAATAATGTGATATTCAATTTACAGAGCAGCAAGTCCATAGAGAGGGAAGAGCCTCTTGGGAGCTGCAGCCACTCTCCTGCCAATGGCAAATATTAAATCCCAGGAATAATCTTTAAAATGCTAAAAATTGCAAATATTAAATCCCAGGATATTTCTGAGCTCTGACATTCTCTCTGCAGGACATGATGCTGTTGGAAGCAGGTCTCACCTGCAGGGCAGGAGAACACATCAGCAATGTTCTCTCTATGTATATTGCCAAGATTTAGGAATTGATAAGTCCAGCACTCTGGCCAGCTCTGCTTCCTACTGAGTGGTGGCCAGGTTTGTTTAGCTCTTTTTACCTTTAATTTTTTAAAATCCTGATAAAGATGGTTTCAATCTTCAGCAGAAGGTACTTGTGGGAAAATGTGTTTCCTTGGAAAATTTATTCTTGTTTGGCAAGAATTAAAGCTCAGCACCTTATTAGCTTTTCTAAATAATATACCCAACCTACTTTCAGAGAACTTTGCTGATGCACAGTTGAGGCCATGGTAGACAAGACACAGCCTCATGTCAGATTTTCTCTGATGCATAAAAGGTGATGTCCAGCTGGCTGCTGCATAAATAAACATTTTCCTGTAGGACAGCCATACCTCAGGTGTACAGGAATAGCTGATAATTGGTGTCAGTAAATCATTATAGTGCAAGCCACAAACATAATCACTCAGTTTGTAATTTACTCCTGATGGGGGTACTTGTTCTTCTCAATACTTAATATGTCTGTTTATAGAAAAGTTGATTGAGATAATTAGCAGTAAAAATGCTAAGGTAACACGGCTATGGTAACATTTAAATTGCCATCAATTTTGTTTATAGCAGCCTAAAGAGCAGTGCTGAAATTAGAAATTAGCTACAATTAGCAAATAAATTGAGTGTCTCTTGGAATTACTTGATCATGTCTTAAAATGTTGCACAGTGTGATGCTCATGGAGGCAAAGCTGAGTCCCTGGGCTGCTCAGCTGTACCAGTCAAGGAGGACACGCTTTGCTTTGCTGCTGCTCCTGGCCTTCCGTGGAGCCTGGGCTGTTGCCCCACAGTACAGGTTTGATAAGTTCATGCTGTGAAGCCAAAGAAAAAAAAATTTGCTCTAAGGGATTTGTCTCTCCACGTGGGAAAAGAAGGTGGAGTGGGATTTTCAGCAATGTGCAGCCCTGTGGGCAGCAGCTCAGAGGCTGTAACACTTCCACCAGCTCAGCAAATGGACCTTGAGACACACATTTACTGTTGGCAGCTCCATATGAGAGGAGTAACTTGGCTGGAAATGTGTTGTTATCCCAGAAGATGAGCCACAGATATGGAAGGCAGTTTTCTCTGATTGCCTGTAATGTGTCTTTTTGGAGGGCCTCGGGCATCATTTTATGTTCACAGTTAGAAATAGTTTGCTTCCCCAGTAAGGTACTTTAAGGATCCTGCTTGATAAATGCTTTATAGAGGCATGTAATTATTTTCCTGGCATAATTTCATAGTTTGATGTGGAAATAAATGTGTTGTCTGCTACTGTTAGAATGGGTCATTAAGTGCAGTTTTGAGAATGAAAAGAGGAGGAGAATCAACCCGTTTCAGGGTCAGGCCGAGTCACCTCTCTCTCACCTGACTCATACAGTAAAATTCTCTCAATCTTTCACCCTTTGTTAGAAGCAGACAGGGAATGGTTTTCTGCCTTTCAAGTCTGTGTCCAGAGAGGAGAAGGTGAGAACATCCCATCCTCCTCCTTCAAGCACAAGTCTCGAGTATTCATCCAAATCTCACATGATGGCTCTCAGCTGCTGGGATCTTGCCCAGTTTTGGATGCACATGTTTGATTCCACTACAGAAACTCTTCTGTTTAGTCTAAGTTTAAGTAATTATTGGGCTGGAAGGGAAGGATACAAGATCTTCACCCTGCACTTTGCCATGTGCTGAAAGGGTGTGAGGATACTGAGTTGTGTCTGTGCTCCACTGAACAGCGCCTGATCCTCATGAAGTGAAACAGGAGACCTTGTGTGGCCTGGAAAGAAATCACCACAGCTGAGGAGCTGTGACATTTGTCTGGGAGGTGGAGAAACGGTGGCATGATGATGTTCACCTGGTGATACACAGATATCTGACTCTTTGCCTGTCAGGGGCTCGAGTCATCCAGGGCAGCCAGAGGGATGCTCTGGACTCTGACACTTGCTCCCTGTGCTCTACATCCAGTTCTGTTTCTTTGGGATTGGAAATACCATTTTTATCCAGGGAAACAGCCCCTTCTGGTATTAAAAATTACATAATTCCAGGAAAAAAACCAAGTAATTTGGGGTAAATTTCAGCATCTTCTAAGAAAGAAAAATTTCCTTGAGTATTTTCTGGCTGTTTCCATCCTTCTTTCCTCCTCTTCAGCAGATGTTGGTTCTTTAAAGAGCAAAATCGGGCTCAGGGGAAAGGGAAGAAGTGACTGAGTGTCAGTGGAAAGCAGTCCAAGGGATTATGGTGTGACCCACAGGCAGACCCTACTGAGAGCTGAGCCCCAGGATCAGGCAGAGTTACCTGGCCTGAGGCTGCTGCTGCCTTTTTTATTGTGCTTCCTTCAAAGCCAGGTGTCTGTGTTCTCTGTGGATTTCATCTGTGGAGAAGTTATCACTGATAAATAACTATTTGTGTTGAATTTACAGATGAGCTAAACTGTTTTCTTTGATGTTGCAGTTTAGTACCTTTTAGTTTTCACGTTTGTGTGAGCACTGGCATTCAAAGGAAATAAATCTGTCGCTCAGATAATGTACTTGCCCTTGGTACCAAAATACTTATATAAGAGTTACAAGGTCATTAGGCATATCAATAGAAAGAAAAATGTGCTATGCATTAAATAGCTGACTTCCAGGCTGGGTTGGGCAAATAGCAGTATACTAAAGTTCACTGCTCATTTCTCCTTCTGATTGTGAAAATCAATTAATTTTATTTTTTTTTTTAGTAGCACTTCCTCTTTGCATTGGAAACCCTCAGCACACGTCAGTCCAAATTTATGAGCAGTGTGTTTTTCGGGGTATTCCATTTATCACATGTAAATTTCAGTGGCCAGTGATTTACTACAGAACTGTTTGGAAAGCAGCAAGTAAATATTACCTAACAAAGTATTAAAAAAAGAAAAGCTAGAGCAGAGATTTTATTTTCCACTTCCCAAGCACTTTATCTTTGTCCTTGAGAAGGCAGGTTAGGTGGAGAACTGCCCCAGTATAGTTCTGGAATGCATCTTGTATGGAAATGTGTTTTTATTCTCAGTAAAAGGCAACCTTGGAAAGTACTGAATTATTGCTTATATTTTAATATCTTTCATTTTCAGACTCTAGTACTAGGTGCAGACCTGAGGGAGCTGAATCCATAAGCCTCCCTCACCCTGCATCACTCCAGATCTGGCTGATGCAAAGAGACAAGTCCTCACTGTCCCCTGCCATGGAGTTCAGACAGTAAACAACTGGCAGGGAGAAAATGGCACAGTGTGGGTTCCACGGTGTCTGGGCAGGCTGGGTGACAGTCTGCACTCAGCCCCTTTTAGCCCTCTTCATCAGCTCAGGGGTACAGAGATAAGATGATGAGAGGTCTGGAGCACCTCTTCTGTGGAGACAGTCTGAGAGAGTTGGAGATGTTTAGTCTGGAGAAGAGAAGGCTCTGGGGTGACCTTAGAGCTCTTTCCAGTACCCCACTCATGTGTCAAACACAGCCAGATGGCACAGCTGATTTTTGTTGAAATTTCAATAACAAACATTAGATTAAAATAGCACCCATGGCAGAGGTTGGTACCTCACAATTTGTCCCTGGCCTGAAAACAGAGATATTATGGTGAAGGATTGTCTCTTTATGGCTTCTAAACTTATGTACCTAATGTAGCCATCTGCATGCCCTGAGACCCACCTGCCACGTGCAGCAAGAGGAGCACTGGGCGCTCCTTTTGAACTGCTCAACAGCCCTCACCTCCCACTAGCAAACACCCTGCACTCAACACCTCCAAAGAGACACTTGTATTGCTTCTGGAGGGGCAAAAGAATCCACGGGGCTGTTTTCTGTGCCTCCCCCAGGTGTGGCAGTGCGGGGGCAGCATGGAGGTGCTGCCCTGCTCCCGCGTGGCGCACATCGAGCGCACCAAGAAGCCCTACAACAACGACATCGACTACTATGCAAAGCGCAACGCCCTGCGCGCCGCCGAGGTCTGGATGGACGACTTCAAGTCCCACGTCTACATGGCCTGGAACATCCCCATGGCAGTAAGTACAGCTCACACTCTGTCCTGAGCAGAGGCAGAAACACGAAGCTGTTCCTAATTAGCTCTTGGAGGTGAAGGGTGTTCCGACAGCTGCACGAAGTGGGCTAAGCTCAGGGAAAGCGCTTTGTTGCACGCTCAGTGTGGAGAGTTCTGCCATCTGCCATCCTCAGTCTAAGTTGAGTTGTGCACTCAGTCCTGACTGTTGTATGCAGTGACACAGATTTATAATTTAACCAGAGCAAAATGTCTCAGGTTTATGTGCTCCCCCAGAAGTCGTTAATTTGGGGCGCCGTTAAACTCTGAGGTGTTCATATGCCACAACGGTGGGGACAACAGAAATGTCCATAAATAAATATCATCATTCATAGTGGGACTCAGTAGACCTTACCAGCATAAAAAACGAAGTATGCAATAAAAAAATCAGACATTAAATAGCTTTATTGTCCACAGGCTGAGAGGTGCAATGTGGGCACGTTCTGCTTCTCACTGTGCATACAAATTGTAGATGCTGTGTGGGGGCCTCTAGGAATCCATGTCATATAAATATTAGATAAACTATAGGTTCCATTTGTCACTTTGTTCTATAAGTATACCACATGCTACATCTGCAGTGAGAATAATTCTTGAAGGAAAGAGTTTTATGTTCTATCCCAGCCAGGTGGAAGCTGGCTGTTGCTGTGTTCCTTGGCTGTGTTTGCATCCAAATTATTCACGTGAAGGGGCACAGGGAGAGCAGCTGAGGGGTAACATACACTGATCTGTAGGTAAGGATGGTTTAGTTAACCCTTACAGCAGGAGTTTGCCCAGAGCTGAAGCAAACAGGAACAGGAATGTTCTTACCAGAACAGGAAAATACACAAACCCAGATGTGTCTGGGAATATTCAGCTATGACCTGGAGTTCATCAAAGTCATGGAGTCTTGTTAAAGGCTTCATTAGATTTAATCTGTCCTAACCATCTACTCGTATTTTGGTACCTAGTTAATACATGAAACCCCATTTTTGTTCTTTCCTCTTACAGTTTTTAGAATACACATACCTGGAGGAGCAGCATTTCCTCCTTGTCCGTTTGATGTCTGAATATGCCAGATATTTTCACAGCTCTAAATTCACTCGCTGCTGTTCAATATTGGACACACTGTGTAAGGTTTCTGAAATGTGTTTTTGGTGACTTCTTTTGGCACAAGAGGTAATTGCAGAGAATTATTTTGCCTTAATTAAAGGCAATACTGCATCACTTTTTCCACACAAGATTTCTGTGACGGTAGGAGGAAGACAGAGCAGTGTCCATTAAAAATTTATGGGCATTTTGGCCCTGTCTGCACACATAAAATACACTTGCTAAAATGGTCAGTTTTCAATTAGGAGATGAAAAACTATCCTCTGTAAAATTGCTTGTCTTATGACATGTGCAAATGAATTCTGGGAAAAGATGATATTTAAATAAGCATTTACACCAAAACATGATTTCCTTTAATCTCTCTGAGATTACTTATTGATGCAGTTTTCTGCACTGAGCTATGCAGCAGAGGTTTTAAAAAAAACCAGGCATATCTACAATAAAAGACATAAAATCAGCAGAAGTACTGAACATTAAAAAATTTTTTTCATAAAATAAATTGATTGATTGATAAAATGTGCATCATAAAAAAAGCCTATTAGCTCTCAGGAAAAGGAAGCTGCTGTTAGTGTTCATTACATTATTCACTGTAGTATTCAATACAGATTACAAAAGTACTGTACTTTTGGCATAAGCCATCACAAAAGCCTTCTGCAGGGGAACTAGAAACCTTGCTAGCTGGTTAAAGAGAATATGTCCACAAAGTAAATCCTGTGGACACCTCATTCTTGTGCCATCACATTGTAACCTCTCCATGGTGACTGCAGCTGGCACAGAGGGTGAGCACAGCTCAATTTGTTTTCATTGCTGCTCTTGTAGAAACAGCACTGCAAAAAAGGCACTGTATTGCCTCATTTCAAAATGGGGCAGAAAAGAGGCAGGTAAAACATATGCATTTTCCCATACCACAAAACCAGATTAACTCTTCTGTAACTTATATTCTTCTCCACATAAACTCTTCTTCCCCACCATCTTTTTCACAACTCACAGGTAATTGAGAATGTGAGCATAATGTTTTTCTAGATCAGCAGATGGTCTTGGGCACACCTGCAAGATCGTGTTCCTATAACCTTCAGCAGCGGGTCAGCACAGCTTTATTCCAGTTAACCAAATACTTGGTACATCCCCACTTATGATTTATTCCTCGACAATTTTAGTGATAAAGGAATCTTACATTGGATGATTTATTGCACTGAGTGCCTCAGAGGATTGCTCTGCTTCCACGCAGTCTCAAGTACTACGTAAATTAACATTCATTTGAATGGATGCTGCACTGAGGGCCCCTGACAGAGCCTGCATCAGCAAGCAGCAGTGAGCACAGCGAACTCTTTATGTGGCAAATAGGAAAACCTGTTCAGTATTACACTTGTATTCTCTCCTGAAAACCAGGCATCTGTTGGAGATCTTAATAAACCCTGAGCTAAGATTTGCTGCTGTCTTGGAACCCTGCATTAGAAACAATCTGTAAAATGTACAGATATTCTTCTGGAGGAAAAGCACAAGGCACTTCAGAGAGATCTCATGCAAAACTCCCCAGTTGCAGTCCATTTGATTAATATAGTGTCAGAAAAGGTTTTTGCATGAGGTAACTCTTACTGTCTTAATGTTGAACTGTGATGATTTATAACTCTTTAAATCAACAGACTCTAACTCAGGACCCACCAGTTTTAAATGGCTGATTTTGCTCATATTAACTTGAATCTTCCAGTTTGTGTCTTTCATGGGATTTGTATTTAAATATGAATTAAATTCTGAAGAAGAATTATAAAGGTTTTGAGTTTAATGGCATTCTGTAGCTCAAGTCTGCAAATGAGCTCCAGTTCTAGTGAAAACTGAATGCTGGGCTATATGAATGCTTAGTGGAGCTTAATGATTTTTAAGCAGCTTTGCTTTGAAGTTTTAACAGATCTGTTCTGACATCATTTACTTTACTGAATACTCAAATCTCTTACTGGAGTAAAGCATGACCAAGCTGCCATATTTTAGATCAGAATTACTGCCTAAATTCTAAATGAATCTGAAAGCAAAGGCTTCAGGATTGATTGCAAACACTTAGAACTGCTGTAAGTAACAACATTCTTATTGTATTCTTATTATTTTGATTTATTTTGGGGTTTTGCTTGTTCTTTATGCTCCTTTTTTCCACTGGCTTTCATTAATATTTATTGTCTGCACTCAACAGCAGCTGTTTCATGAGCTGCTGCTTACAACAAAAGAAGAAAAAGAGGAAAATACAGCTTGGTATACAAAATTATACAAGCTGTATACAGCTGGGTATACAAAATTAACTCCAGTTTGATTTCAGTAAAGATAGCAACCATAAAGCCAGTGCAGTGAGAGTTCTTTTTTTATTTTGCAGAACCCTGGAGTTGACTTTGGAGATGTTTCTGAAAGAATCGCTCTGCGACAGCGACTGCAGTGCCGGAGCTTTAAGTGGTACTTGGAGAACGTGTACCCTGAGATGAGGGTTTACAATAACACAGTCACTTATGGAGAGGTACAGCATGCCTTTGGAAACACATCCCAGCTGCACTCTGCCTTCAGAGCTGCCCATCAGGGTGTGCAGAGCAATTACACATCAGCACAGCAGTGGCAACAAAAATGCTCTCCTCTCCTTGTAATCAACACTAAGGAGCTTTGAGAAGCCTCGTTCCTTTTGTGGGAGGACAGCAGGTTGTAGGCACAGAGTTTGTGGTGAGTGGGAGCGGGGCTGCAGCCCAGCCTCACCCCCAGTGGGCACAGCTGTGAGCCATGGGGTGCCCAGGTGTGCTGACCAAAGGGAGCAGAGGGCACACAGGTGTAAAACATGAACATGAGGCTATAAAAGGTTGGGCTAAAGACCAAGAAGGGCAGATGCTTGCAGACTTCTCAAGTAATATGATGTTACTCTGGGCAAATGCTAAAAGCCTTCTGAAATTGTATAGTGACTGTGTATCGTGGCCATCTCAACTACGATATGTGCTGTGGCACAGATGAAGTTGTCCTTACTGACAATTACACACAACCTCCTTGGCTCTCATAATAAACACTGAGACATAAGTTTGAGGCAATCATTTCCACAAACAAGATGCCACAGACATCATAAAGAAAGCCTCAGTGGTCAGCAGAGCTCAAATAATTGTCTACATGCACTATAATTAAATACGAAGGCAATGTATTTTCCCATAAGACAACTAAATGGAGACTGTTCCTTTCTTTTCCATTTGATTGACTTCATATAAAAATAAGTCAGGCACTTGAGACATTGATACAAAGTGCAAGTTTTATTCCATAATATCACTTTGCATCCTAATGTAACTATCCCCATCAGGAACTGAGAAAAGACATTGAGTAAGTTCAAGAGGAGCTGTTGGTATCTGTCAGCTCTGAGAAGGTCATTAACAGTGAAAAACATTGGCAGAAGTGCCAATGTTGTGTCAATTCTACCAGACCCTGAGCAATCTGGGCTCTAAAATAAATTTTGTTCCTCTTGAACTGCCACATAGAAAGTTCTTGAGTCAAACAGGAAGTTCAGTGATGCAAATACCAAATTCTTTAGCATTTTTAATAGAATAGAGCCACACAAGGTATTTACCTTTTATTAACCAACCTAGGTTTTAGGCTTCATTCTAATGACATCAAGCTTGTTGTAAAGTACTTTCTCTTCTGGTTATTTTCCTGGAGGAAAGGATGTCTGGATCTTTGTGAGTTTCAAGGAAAATAAATGTATTGAGTAGATGTGAAACAGATTGAAACAGTAGTAAAAATATATTTCCTAGTGACTCAATTCCCATTTTTTAAAAGCCATCTCATAAAGCTGTCTTCATCTTCTTTAGCCTTTATAGCACCCAAGCCATAAAATAAACCTCCTGAAATTTAGTTGTTAGTGGGCCCCCTTATCCAATTGGATTTCCTGTTATGTTTGTACATGATAATATGAAGGAATAGATACTGATTTTTTTTTCTGACACCTTATGCTGCTGCTGTTTCTAGATTATGGGGGTGGCCAGACAGGTACTTTACAGTCTAAACCAAAATTGACCTGTTGAGTCTTTTGAGGTGTCTGTCTAAATAACTTCTTGTTTATGATATCTCTAAAGCTTTTCTATGTTCAAAATATGCGTGTAATGCTTCCAGCCTCAAGAGGAAGGCTGGAAGGGTTTTCACAAGAGCACAAGAGCTCTATCACAGTTTTTATAGACTTGTAAATTCTTCTTGTCTGGGGAGGCACAGAAATTTTTTACTTCCTTGGATCTCTGAACCTGTGCCCTTTCATAAAATGTGCTTTATGTCACTTCTGTACATAACAATGTACTATATTTTCAGTTCAGATAAAAATTTTCACATGCTTTTTTTTTTTTTATATCGGCAATAGGAAGAAACAAAAGCATGTCACATCCAACACCAGTCCTGGGAAGCTCCTATTCTGTTTATAAAGCCACATTCTCAATATACAGGGTCAAAATTTATGTTTGTACATTGGCAATTTGGAGCAAAACTTGGCCTGGCTTTCTTAGGGTGAATTTTAGGAAGTTCTAATCCTTGAGTAATTGCCAAAAATGGACCTGTGACCCAAGATGTGTAAAGACAGCAGGTTGTCCAAATAATGTCTTTTCCTGGAGCAGATTCACTGCTGGCACCCTGTCACAGCTGAAGGAGAAGAATGTGTCTCTCAGAGAGCAGTTTTACATAGTACTTTTCTCAGGAGCTGCAGCACAGCTGAGATTTAGCTGGACTGGGTTAAAATAGGGATTTATTTCCAGCTGAAGTGTTTTCATTCTGATCTGGTTACAGGTGCGGAACAGCAAAGCCAGTGGCTACTGCCTGGACCAGGGGGCTGAAGAGGATGACAAAGCCATCCTTTATCCATGCCATGGAATGTCCTCCCAGGTAAATGGTGAAAATCCCATCATGAGTGAGAAACCTTGAATTTAGAGAATATTCAGAAGAAATTAAGTAAGTGGATGTATTTGGTTGAGTTTGCCAGTATAATTCCTGAGCTGCAAGGAAATTGTCTGGCTTACTCCAGTCTTGTCAGGTGCCTTTTCCAAGATTGTCCATCATGTGAATCCATACTTGGAAGTTGCCAGTTAGGAAATCAGAAGTATCACGTTACTTTGTTTAAATAACAGGGATCCACTGAAGATTAATTAATTTAGTTAGTCTGTGTGAGTGAGCATTTCTTGCTATGACATGAGTTATTCATGGTACCTCTTTAATTTAACTGTTCCTAGGTCCAACAGGCTCCTGGGCAGAAATTATTTATCAAGCTGCTGATTTGATGCCCCAAGTAGGCATAAAAGTTAAGCACATATTTAACATCAACTTCAAAGGGAATTAAGAATATCCTCCAAGACTTTTCTAAAATAGAAGACTTCTCTTTTTTTTGTCAGTCACTGTGCATATTATTATTTTCTTTCAGATGTCTGAAGATTTAAAAATGACATTTCTTCTTCCCATGCTCATAGTGATTTTACTTACACAAGTTGACTATTTTTTAAATCCAGGACTTGAGCTTTTTCTGAAATGCAATTCTTGTTTCTCTTGAAGTAGCATCTGAATCAAAACAATATTAATGAACATTCTCACATGTAAATAAACTCTGACCTTATCAGGCTTAACAATTATCTGAGGTTCAGTCATGGATATATTGATTGGGAGCCCTGGCTTGTGCTTCACCACGGAGGCAAAGTGAGATAGACAGTAATTCCTACTGCCACAATGTCCACCTTTGGCAGGGTCATTATGGAGTATTTGACTGACACTCTCCTAGTAGAGGTGGAAGGAGCAGCCTGTGAATAAGGTAACAAAATAGCATTGCTTAAATAGATGTAAATTAGCTTCTCAAGAAGACTCTCATTAGAGATGTCCAGGCTCTCCTGCTCCATCCTAATCGGAACAGAAAGTTGCAAATTTAAGTCCTTCCTGAAAGTCCCTTAGCAACATCTAATCTCTATCATAGTGTGCCAGCACTTAGAAGAGTAATGAAATAAATGGTTCTGACTGTAATTTATTTTGCAATTTAAGTCCTTAACCTACTTGTTTGCCTCCATTATTCCTGTTTCACAGAGTAGGCTTCGCAGGAAGAAAATAGAGGGGGGCATAAGTTACAGTGAATTTAAAACAAACAAACCAACAAAAAAACTGGAAAAGAATTTTCATTCTGCAAGAAATACCAAGTGAAGGCAGAGGTGATGTTTTATCTAAGTTGAATATTTCACAGACAAGCATGAGTTGGAGCCACTCAAATGCAGCCAAGTTAATTAATGATTACACAGCTGGAAAACTTCTATAATCTCACCACAATTTACAAAATTAATTCAGTGAGAGAACCACAGCTGCACAAACCGTAATCAAGGATATTCAAGCACATAGCATGAAAGGTGTTGACAGCAAGAGTTTTAATATATTAAATAAACATTTTTAAAGCCCCTCTTTGAATCAGCCTGGGTGAGCATAGTTGTCTGCTGCATTTAGCTTTCCATTTCTGACATTTTTCATCTCAAGCATAGAACATAAAATACCCCTACTGAGCCGAGATTTAGATTATTTGTACATGCCTACTGAATATAAATTCATATAAATATGGAGCTCCCTTTCCCCAGTAGGGTTATCACTGGTGTTCATATGTCCTACCAGTGTGAAGGCCTCTCCCTGTTTAGCTACAGCCTTATTTGTTTTTCATACTCTTCAATTCTGACAAACACATTGCCAGTCATTTTAGTGTACACGTGGTTCCCCTGAAACCCACCCAAGTCAGGCAGGTGTTTAAAGAAAGCTGAATTAGGAATAAGATTACTGTTAATCTATGATAAAATGTTCTTTTCTCTATGTCTTACTCTTCTGTTTCCCTTGGATATTGTTGTCCTGCATTACAGTGGCAAAATAAAATCACTCCACTGTGACTGCCTTTCCCTATGTGTATTTTCAAGATCAGTTTTCACCATGATAAATCAGATCTTTCTAATGATATCAGCTTTTAAATTTCTTTATTCAAACAGGGACAAGCTCTTTTATGGATGCTCTGGAATGCATTTCGCCTGAGTTTACATCAATTTAGTTTAATGAGTTTGACTTGAACTAAGTCATTGTAAGCTAACAGCTAAGAATATCCAGACAAGGTTTTGCATCATTCTGAGTTGATTTCAAAACCCATTTTACAGCACTGTCTTTTTTATATGTGTTCATTGGATCTGGAGTTTGAGTCTAATGGCTTTCAGGGAAAAATGTTTGCAAATACTACTGGGAGAAACAGTCGAGTGCTACAGAAGATTTGTAAATAAAGGAATATATTTGGAGTCTTGAACTGCTCTGCCTCTGTGTGTGGCCTCCGTTGTACAATCAGCTGTAAAGCCCAGTGATTCTATACACATTTGTTGTAAAAAAAATTAAAAAAAAAAAAAAAAAAAATTGTTAAAAAAAAAAAAAAAAAAAAAAAAAAAAAAAAGTGGGGTTGTGAGGACAGATACTATGCCCCCAAAAGTAGAACATGTTGTTCTGGAAGCTTCATAGAATGGTTATAGGACATGCAGATTTTGAGCCCTCTGAGAACACTACACAGCCCCAGGGGAAATATTCCCTGTCTGAGTCTGCCTTGAATGCCATAATGTGGGGCTGATTATATGGTGTGTGAAAGAGAGGGGAAAGTAATGGAATGGCTTCCTGGGGTAGAATGGTGAGCAGCCTCCTTGTCCACCCTCCCTTCCCTCTCACAGCAGAGAGAGGAGAAGCCCTGCAGCTGTCAGAGAGAGAATTCCCTCTGCATTGAGAACAGCCAGAGGGGGGGAGAGCTCCCTGCTCGCATTCCTGGGGCTGCAGCTACACAAATAGAGTGAGAGAGGATGAAAGGCTCTGCTTAAACTGTTGCTAGAGGGCAGGTATTTCACATTTTGCTGGGTAGAGCTGTGGCTGCCCAGATTTGTGTGCAGGGCAGCAGGGTGGATGCACAGGTGGTTTCTCCACTTGCAGGAAGCAGTGGGTGGGATTCTGGAACAATCATGGAAGTTTGATAAGCTGTGATCTTTGTTTGCCTTGAGGGGACAGGTATTCTGGAGATGTAGGGTGTTTGGGATTCCTGCATCACTCGCTGTTCCTGTGTGAGCTGACAGCTTGCCTTAACTGCAGGACTGAGGAACCACTAAAGATTTCCTTTTGCCTGGAGAACAAGAGTAAGAGAGAGAGGTTAAATTTAGTGTCAAAGCTACCAGGCCCATCCTAGAAACTGTTTCCTACAAAAAATTACCTGCAATCATTTGGTGTTTTTTTTCACTGGACTGGAAATTAGCAGGAATAAATGTTTTTGAAGTCAAACCCTCCAGTTTAAAGCTGCCATTTTCTTACCACATTAATATTCCTGGAGGATCATATTCCATAGGCAGCAGCACTGACTATTTTTGATTCAGGTGTGGTGGCTTTGATAAACAACCTTTTGCATCTTTTGCTTTCTGCTCAGATTTCTGAATGTTGAAGGGAAAACTTTCCTATACATCAGTATAGCAGATGGTATCAGGATTAGATCTTGAGTATTTAAGCTCTTAGTTTCAGTGTCATTTGAATCCTCCAGCTCTTCCTAGATGAAAGAGAAAAGCTGAGTGAAGGTCCATCCCAATGTGATGTATAAAAGTGTGCTTCTGTACTGCAGCTGGCAATTTGGAGTGTGTGGATATCTAAGGATCTCAGCCCATCAAAGCCTGCACAGATTTTTTTTTTTTTTTAATTCATAAGATTTCATATTTCCTAACAAAGGGAACTTTGTCATTTGATTTTGGCTGGTTCCACTGGCAATGGATTTGACATGGTGTCTCATGTTCACAGTCCTAAAATAAATAGGAATTATTTCTTTGTGGATATGTTAGTGACACTTAAGATCAAGTTTGAACACAAGAGGTACAATTTTAATTGGCTGTATCCCAGTTCCTGCTTTCTAGCCTATAGTAATAAGCAACTTATTTTAATGCTAATTTTATTTTCACAGCTTATATTGTCTCTAGGAATTTAAGATATGAATTCTTTGGAGAGAGATGTTATTAATCATATAGTAGTTTCTTGAACCTTAATTTCTGGTCTGATTTCGCTGAAGCAGGCTCTACAGCTTTCCTATGTAATATGGTCTGAACTGAGATAATTCTTTGTGGGTGGGTTTTTTAGATTTTTATTTTATTGTGGAATAAGCCTAAGTTCAGTTTGGAACAGCCATAAAAACTTGACAGAAAGTGCAAATTCAGGAAATTAGGCCCATGCTGTTCCATTTGTCTCAAGATTGTATAGATAACAATTTCCTGCACCGAGCCATCCCTGACCCTGTTGAGCTGTGACACAAACTGCCACTTTCAATACTGCAGATAGTTTAGAATAGAGTTAATGTATCTTCCACCTCTAAAGCCTAAGCTGGACTGGTACTTTCTGCTTTGACAGGCTGCTCTGTGACCAAGTGCATGGCCACTGTGCTACAGAGCACATATAACTCTGCCTACTGATGATAAAGAATGTTTTAGACCATTTTAATACCAGTACAGAAAATGCTGCTCATCTCAAAAAAGAAAATCAATCCTATCCTACAGAGCACATAGCCCACTATAAACAGTGCTTCTGATTATCTACCTCAGGCAAAGCCAACAAGCTTGTGGGGCAGTATTTTGGGACTACAGAGAGATAATAAAGAATGCAAGATGAATACATTTTCTGATCAGTGTTTCAGCCATACTTGAAGTTAATTTGGATTCTGCTGAAAATCCATTAAATAGAAGTGTGAAAAATACAGACTGATTTTTTAAAAAAAAAAAAAAAAAAAGATGAAGTGTTATGTTTGATTTGTATTTTTTTTCCCCAGCTCCTTTTTATGTGAAAAAACAAAGTTAATTTGTCTGACCTGGCAGTCCCTTCATATTTTGAATTACTTTGCTTGCTTGAGTTTATTTTACATATGTCACTCCTAACCTCAGAGTGGAAAAAAATCCCAAAAGTGTCTTGATTAAGTGTTTACAGACTGGCCCATGACAAAGACACCATTAATATCCAGAGCATCCTCATGTGGTTATCTCTCTGATGTAGGCTCTCCTCTACCTCTGTGCTTCACATGGCTGCTCTGAACAGAAGTGGCAGGTGGGAAAATGAACACATACTATGTCAAAGAGCATCTGGTCTGGGAGCAAGTAGACCATGTTCTTTTTGCCACCAGCAAGAAATGATTATTCACAGCATGATTCTTCTGAGGTTAATAAGGATGGCAGTAGAAAGCCAGACTCTAATTTGAGTTTTTTTGATTGACTCTTAATGATATCTCACACACTGGTCAGTGGCATCCAGTAAATGGCAGGCACTTCTGACCTTCCTTCTCTTTCTTGTTAAGTAATTTCAGCCATATAACAGCAACAGGACCAGACAGGCAGTGAATTTCCTGGGTGGTAATTGCACTTCTTTGGTGGCTCAGATCCTCACCCTGCAGCATCCAGTCTGACAGCACACAAGCCACGTAGCTGGCTCCACTCTGCAGTCTTTTGGCACCTGGGTGTTGCACTTTCAGAGTAAGAAGGGCAAAATATTGTGCTGGTTTAATGACTCTGGGTTTAAGCACAGAAGTGAGAAGTAGATAAGTCTGATTTGACGTGTTGGCCTGCTGCCAAATTAGCATCGTGCATTTTCACTTTAATGTGCTTTACACAAAACTGAAATACCACAGTGTCATTCTTTATTATGTAGGCCTGAAGCATATGTTAGCAAATTTACTGCCATTTCCCTCATGGTTTCTTTTTTTCCTCTCATATTTTTGGATACTGTTTGCATGGTTGGATTTTTTTTTTCAGTAATGTTTATTTACAAAAACTAATTAGACTTGTTGCTATCAATAGCCTCTACCAGAGCTCTTAAGAACAAACTGCATGACAAAATTGACATCGTGTCCTTGTTAAATCAACTCCTGCTGAGTGGGCACGATTTACATATGGATTACTTCACTTCCTTGATTGCCCTTTTTGCAGGGACATTGTGGGTGGGGAGCAGAAGTGTGGGAGAAGGGAATGTTGTGTTCTAGGTTTTACCAACTGTGAGAACCCCGGGTTTGGTCAGGGGTCTCGTGTGGTGGAAAAGTCTCTCCTCCAACCCGTGCTTCCAAAGAAAAACTCCTCAGCCTCTTGGTGTCCTGTCTCAAGGCAGTTTATTTCTAATTATCTAAAAGATTTTCTTCTCAGGCTGTGCTGACACACACACCTGACACCCTCACTGTCTGGTGCCTTCTTCTTCTCCCTCTCTGCCCAGGGCTGCTGCTCTCTTTTATATGATATATTACGTATTATATTTTTACAGTTTTTCCCCAATACCTACTACCTATATTACAAAGTGCTTTTCTACTCTAAACCAATCCACAAGTGCCAGCATCACCAAGAATATGGAGGCAAGGAAGAAGAAGGAGGAAGAACAGGATCAGCCCACTTTCCTCCATCTTAGAACTTCTGACCCCCATGTACAAAGTAAAAACCCCTCTGTACAGGTGCTAAAACCCCCCTGTACAATACTAAAAAATTCTCCCCTCTACTATACTATCTAACCCTTTGTGACTGCTTGTTCCACCTCCAAAGTTGGTAACTCATTCCATGGCTCAAACTCAAAATCACAGCTGTTTGCAGCTGCCTGCCGGGGCCTAAAATGCTTCCAAGGCCTGGAACCTCTAGAAATGTCTGAGAGACATTTTGAGTTCCAACACCAGCAGTGCCAAGCTTTGCCCTTGAGCAGCGTGCAGCAGCACAAAGGGCTCAGAATTCTCCTTTCTCCCCAGCTCGTCCGCTACAGCTCGGAAGGTGTCCTGCAGCTGGGGCCGCTGGGCTCCACCGCCTTCCTGCCCGACTCCAAATGCCTGGTGGACGATGGCAAGGGCAGGACACCCACCCTCAAGAAGTGTGAAGATGTCCTGAGGCCAGCGCAGAGGTTCTGGGATTTCACACAGGTGTGGAAAAGCTGAGGAAACCTTAAAGAGATGCATTAGAAAGGAATGATGCCAAGGTGGTCTTTGAAGGGTTATACTAGGAATTTCCCCCAGTACTTTTTTGAAATAGTCAGATGTGTTTTCCACAGATTGTGTGCTACCCAGGAATATTCTTTCATTATTACTAGAAATCTTGGGGTACGATTTCTAAGAATTTTTACTTATCCTGTCTTTGAATAGTCTCAATTTCTGGCCTGATTGTCAAGAACATGCTTGTAATTGTTTACTGTCCAGGAGTTTTTGCATTTAGAACTTTCTGGATTTTTTTCCTAGTACCTTTACAGGCATTTTTTAAGGTCTAGAATCTTCATTTTTAAGACTTTCAAAAGCATTATTACACTCTCTGGGATTTCCTATTTCTTGGGCTCTGTAGGGATTCACTAGTGCTTTTTAGAGATTTTCTTGTGATTTGGGGGGATTTTCCCAGCAATTCTTAAATGTACAACTATCAAGGAATTGTTTCGGTACTTTCTATGTATTAGCTAGCTTTTCCTAAGAATTTCTAGCACATTCTGAGGCATTTATTACTTGATATATACAGAAATACATTTTATAATTGTTTTTAAGGATTTACAGATCTAGCGCTGTTTTTTTTTTTAGTCTGTTCTTTTTGTGTTCCTTTCTCTAATTTTTTTTTCTTTTTTTTTTTTTTTTTTTTTTCCCAGAATGGTCCTATCATCAGCAGAGACACAGGCCGTTGTCTAGAAGTGGAAATGTCCAAGGATGCAAATTTTGGGCTCAGATTAGTTGTACAAAGGTGCTCGGGGCAGAAATGGATGATCAGAAACTGGATCAAACACGGTCGGCACTGACTGTGGGGCTGAGCTGCCTCTCCTGCTGGTGCCCATTGCTCAGTGTGCCATAGCTCCTGAGGCATTTGTCTTAAAGCAAATTAGTTTGAAGAGGTCTTGGCTCTCAAGAGTCCTCCATCATTGGGCATTCCAAGGAAAGAAAGAAGAAAAAGGAAAGCAGACACACACATGCCCTGTTTGACTCTTCCTTGCTCCAGCAGATGATGTGGGAAGCTTAAGGAGAGTTTTCTGTTGATTTGGAAATCTTGTGAAGATCAGAACACAACAGGAAAGTGGATTCCTTAAGCTCTCCTAGAGGAATTGACACACAGATCTTTCTAGGCTGAGTTCAAAGGAGACATCCTAATACTGCCTCATAAAGAGAGTTCTCTGATGGGTAGCTTTTTAGCTTTAAGTTTTGGACTGGTGCACAACTCCTACGGTGAATAATTATGTGCCTTTTTTATTGTACTTCGTATAAAAGAGGACTAGAAAAATCCTACCTTTTCAGCATGTCTGGTTCGTTGTACTAAACAAGATCTGTAAATAACATTGGAAATATATTATAATATATGGTACATTTCAAGGTTGATTGTTTAGGAGTCTCTGTTTCTAGAAAGAGACTGTTCTGCAAATGTTTACAGGTGGTTCTCAACCTTTGAGCTGCTGGCAAGCAGCATTTTAGAGACCTCTTCTAATTAGACACAGATAAATGTTGAATAGGTAAAATAGCCACATGTTCTGTTACATTGCCACATTTTACATTTGTTGTGTGTAGAGACATCACAATTTAGCACTTGGATATTTGGCTCTTCTGAGGCAGTAAATGTACTTGGTGGATGGATGGATGGATGGATGGATGGATGGATGGATGGATGGATGATGGATGGATGGATGGATGATGGATGGATGGATGGATGGATGGATGGATGGATGGATGGATGGATGGATGGATGGATTTCAGGAGGCCTCGACTGGTCTCAAAGCCCTGAGTGTGTGTCCTGTCCTGCAGGGCACTGTTGTGTTGTTTCAGGGACTGCCTGGAACAAGAATACTGCAAATCCTCCTTATTCTGGAAATAACAAGATGACTGGCTTAGATGCCATCTGTGGAGCTTAAAAACTCTGATCTTCCATTTTGTTTCTCATCCTGTGAAAATGTCAAATGTGAGCAAATATGCTGTGTGAGCACTGTCTAGACAAATTTCCTGAACAAACCAACAAAGTCTTTTCAGCATTTGAAAAACAAGCCTGGTGATAAGAAGGCAAATTAGAGCAGGAGGTAGGGAGCATATATAAATACTGTTACTCTGAAATATAAATAATTTACTGTGGTTGACCCATTGGCAGCATCTTTGTAAACCTGAATTTAATAATGTGTCCGGTAGTTCATGGAGGGTCAGTGCATATGGACAGAGCAGTGACAAGACCTTATCCAAAAGGCAGTCAAAACTGATGACCACTGGTTTTGGATGTGGGTCCATGGCACACAGCTTTTCTGTACAGATTATTTCAGTCATACTGAAGGAGAGACAGAGATGGTATCTGTTAATTTCACAGTTTAATATTTTATAGTTAAAAAAAAAAAAAATGTTTTGTTTTACTGAGCCAGGAAAATAGGTAATTGCAGTCACTGTAGTGCTGTGAATCTTGGTGGTCTGTTCCTTGAATAACTTTAGCCATTCCTATTTCAAGGCATGCTGAACAGAATTTAATGGAAACAAAGTTAATTTTTCAAGGGCATGATATGTAATAAAATTTTTACTTTTAACATGCAAAATCCATCAGGTCTTGTCAAGGCTTGGTTAGTATCTAGAAAGCATAACACTGTGTTTTGCCCCAATTTTATTCTTGAAATAGAGTGTGCAAGATGCAATACAAGGCCAATTCTCCTGGAGTTTACTTGTGGCTAATTGCTGATCTTTATTCATGTCTCATGGACCAGGTTGCACATGAACATAAACAAAAGAATAATTCTGGTGAGATTCTAGGTACAAAAATACTTAAAATTCTGTGTTTATGGTAAGTTGTACACAACCTTTTGAACAGTGTAATAAGACCTGCAGGGAGAATAGCATCTTTAATAAATCAAGCAATACTGTATAAAATCATGGACAATCTCAGTATTTAAGTCTTCCTGCAGGTCCAAAAGAGGTAGGAAACTTCAGGCTAAATATAGATTGAGAACAGCTACCCTCCATTTAACCTCCTTATCTTAAACTACCAGACAATTTAAAATTATATTTACCATCTATGCATCAGGTGTTGAAGGCTTTGTACAGGAATGATTTTGTAAGTGAGTTTTCATCTTCTCTCCTAATACAATTTCCACCTTTTAAACTGTATGAAAGCTGTATTCTCTTTTTGTTTGCTCTGATTGAGTTTTACTCCTTGAGGGAGATGGGAAAGCAAAAGAAGGAAAAGATGGTTTTGCCAGGTGAGATTTTGGGGGAGTAACAGGTCATTCACACCCATTTTTAGTCTTTCCAATAAGTGCTAACTGTTTTATGTGAACATGGCAGGAAGTAGAAATTAATTATATATCAGTGTGATTAGTAAATACCTATTAGAGTAAAAAGTCACAGTACTGAACAGAAGCAAATATGCCATGTGCTTTCTTTTTCCCCTTTATTTTTTCCTTGTCTTGAATTAGCAATCTACAGTTGATCCTTGGTTAGCAGTGGGGCAAGTGAGCCTTTCAAACCCTGGGTAAATGAAAAAGGAAAGATGAATATTTAGGAGAATATCAGAGTTTAAATCTACTCTGCTAAAAGGAGTCTTGCATGGGCAGTTTAGGAGCTTTGAAGCTGAGAGGACCAGATAGATCTGTGTTTATTGGCAGAGATTTCAAAGGAGATTTCAAACCTTCACTCTGACACCACCATGAAAAATAAGAATTGGGTGTTTTGGGATTTGGCCCCTCAGTGCAGAGCATTTGTCTGACAGTGGTCAGTCCTGGCAGGTTTGAGTGCCAAGGCCACCAGCTGCAGGGGCTTGCAAGAGCCAGATTTAGGGTATAAGAAGGTAAACAGGTTTTTATGGTAGATAAGTGGCTTTGAGATTTACATAACAATATAAAAGAAATATAAAAGAATTCAAATAACTCTTAAAAGGTGGAGTTGGTATTTTATGTGATTGTCATTTTTTAAGACTTGCTGGAACAATTTCTTATATTTGCAAAACACATCTGTTGGATTAATTTTACTTTATTATTTATCTGTATGAACCACTGCTTTGGCTGTGGTACTAACATGGTGACTCTGCATGTTGAGAGGGTCTTAAATATTCTCTCGTCAAAGGAATAATAATAAAAAAAGCCTTGAGTATTATCTGTTTTAACCAAAGTCTATGGTTCTTTTGTCAGTATTTCACCCCTTAGTATTATCTGAAATCCTGCTTAATGGTGTTCAAATTTTCAGTCTTGTTTCCCACAGTGCAGCATTCTAGATCTCATGAAAAATATTCAATGTAGTATAATATGCCTTGTGGAGAAAATTCAGATCAAAGGCTTTCTATGCTATTTTGTTTGATTTAGGGGATTATGGAGCTAAATACTAGGTCATAGGACAAAAGAATTGAAGGTAAGAAAGACTAGCACTGTTGTGAAAGCCAAGCCAGGAAAAAATATTCTTTTCTATGCATGTTAGGGCACCTAAAAATTAGCCGTAGTCCTAAGGTAATAAAAGCTCTTTCTTTTTTGAGAGCTACAAACTATTTTCCAAGCTGAATTTTATTTTGGTTTGGTTGAATCTATTTGTTCCTCAGCCAGAACTGTCCTCTAACCTTACTGGCTTGCAGGTTCCTGAGGCATGCTAAGCTCCAGTGGGAAGGAAACAAGAGAAAAGTTGATGCTTTGGAAGGACCCACTGGATTCCCCTGCAATCATGTAAGATCTTTATTGTGCTCACCCACCAGAACTCTTTGGGGCAGTTCCACATGCAAAAAACCAAACTCGTGTTCCATAGAAATGATCTAAGACCAAAATATGGAAACATAGAACAGGTCTTCATACGTATTTTGAAAGTGTTGAAGTATTTCTCTCAGCTGAATGAATAATTTGGGACTCAATGTGTCTGAAGAGGAAGCCTTCATGGTCTTTCATTTATAGTCCTTTTCATTGGCATGTCCCTTTTAAAAAACTGGGATCTAGTAGATGAAAACCTCACTTGCCATGTGACAAGGAGTGTAACCTATCTGACACAGGATAGCTGCAATTTTAAGTATTTAAATCAGAGCTAGTGAGATTTAATGAAATAGCCCCAGTCCTAATCTGTTCTTTAGATCAATTACACAGTATGTAATTCCTTCAGTATCCAGTATTCATTTGGAATGGTTCATTACCAGCCATACAAAAGTGCATTATGGGCCATTTCAGGATCCAGGGAGTTGGGCTATAGGAAGAACTGCAATAGAAATTGTAGTTCAGAGGGAGTTTAGCATGTTTTTATTCAGTTAGAGCACAAATACCTTTGTTTTTTTCATGAGAGGCTTTGGGAGGAAGAACAACTACAAGAATTCACTCAATTGAAGGTGTTTTTAACAATGATGTTCTGTTTTTTCCTGCTGCTATTTTGACCACCTGCTTCTTAGTGTTGATCAAAGTCAATGGTAGAGGTCATACCACAGATAAAAGATGATATTGCAAATTAGAAAATCTAGCTAACAGACTGGAGAGAAACCAAGGAATGATCAGATCTTCATATGTCTCTAGATCTAGATGCCACCACAGGAAACTTAATACCCAAAAATTCTCTTTGGAAAGAATCCCAAACTACAGTTACCTCTTTAGTACACTATAATGGATTTCAGAATGGCTTCATAAAACACAGTGACTTACATTACAAAAGCATTAATGGCATGTAACTAAAAGGTATTGAGTTCAGTGGTTGTCCTAAATAAAAACAATGGGTTTTGGCCAAGAATATTTACAAGTACCCAGTGAAACGATATATGGCAATCTTATTTTGAAAAACAACTTCTGAATCAAGAGTATCTTCAAAGACATGTAGAAGCTTTGATTACTTCTCATAGTATTAGTGTTTCCTATTGGCCATTAACAAGTGTTGTGCAGTTTTCAAACTCTCTGTAATGTTTAATTTTTAAAAATGCAGCAACTAGAATGCAAATTGTGACTGCAAATATTTTTTCATTATGTGGCACATCAACAAATCAATTTGTATTCACACTGAAAAAGTTAATAAATTACTATGCATTTTACTGCTGACATGAGCTGCATGTTTTATCATTGTACATTTGGACACATGTATTAAAATTCAAAGATTCACACAAAGGAAAACTAGAATAGCAAAGCATATGGGCATTTTAAAATTTAAATTGTACATATTGTGTTCTGAAAGGCAGTCACCACACACTTGTAAGAGACTTGGCCCTGGGGGTGCACATCCAAAAGTGGACTGATAACAGTGCAGACAACTGTCATCTACACATCCCAGCATCTCACCACTGCAAACAGCCAATAATTGGTGTTTAGAAGAATGAAATAGGATGCAGGGAAAATGTAAAATGATTCTTTCACCATATATCTCCCCCTAATTTCTCAGGGGAAGGCCTTCCCAAGCCAGAGGCTCTACACACCAACCCAACCATTAGATTTAGCACACTGGACCTGTCTGTATCCAATCCACTCAGAGCTCTGGATATCACAACATCGTGCTGTAATGAATAGCACAGTTGCTGTAAGTCAGCACCACAGCCTCTCATTCCATAGGATGCCCTGTAGGTCTCTTATGGTGAAAAGCTGTGAATAACTGCTGCCAACTCTTTTTTAACACCCTTCTTACTTTGACCTCTGTCATCCTGTTTTAAAATATATTTCTGAACTGTCTTTTTTTTGTGTGGGTGTCACCAGCAAACAACTTTGTAACTGCACAAGCAGATGGTCTGTGTCATCTCTTGTGCTGGGTGATAGCAGGGTGAGAACCCATCGGGTTCCAGAGCTGCTTAGTGGGAAAAACATACATTGCTGGTTTTAACATTGATATTGGATCTCAGCCAGGCTGTTTCTCCAGTGTGTATGACAAAGTTTGCAATTTGTGATCAAGGAGAATAGAGCATCTGAGAAAGGATCCAAGTCCTTCTTTCATTCTTCCCTGCCCTGCTGCTGCTGCTGTCAGGAGGCTGTGGAGCACCCAGGATTACAGCTGAGGGACCAGGATGGGACATGTGCCCATGTTCCTGACTCTCTTACACCCCTCTGGTTCAGCTGAATCAGCTGGGTGACACCTGAATGCCCAAGCTTTTTTCTTCCCAATTTCTGCAAGGACAGTGACTGCCTAAGTCACTGAGGAGCAGCTGTTGATTCCTTGGTTTTCCCAGAGCAGGTAGGGCTGGCTGTAGTCTTCAGGTGGGGGCAATACCACCAGGCTCAGAAGGAATGACCTGATACAGCCTTGGCAAATTTACCTCCATCACCAGGATCAGTCTTTGCGTTCTTTCCCATTTTGTTGTAACTCCACGCTGAGGACTCTGTACAAACACTGCTCTGCTTCAAGCCAAGGCATTCTGTAGACCAAACTTCCTATTGTAATCAAGCCAGCATTTCTTGGAAAGAGAAACATCACCTTTGAAGGTACCATATGCTTGCTAGAATGAATGTTTTGTGAATAATATCCGGCAATATTAGGTTTGTATAAATATTTTGTCAGCAGTGCTGCATCTGACAACATTCATACTGCAGAAGTTATTCTAAGCATCAGATTTTTCACTGTGAAGAATGTATTCCGTGGATGTAGCCACCCTTTTGTTCAATAAATCTTCATGAATTGACTGTGAATCATTAATATGTGCCTGTAACTGAGCACTGACTGGAAGTGATAATGATTTTTCAGCCTATAATGGCTTGGTTGTGTTTTGTTTTGTTTTGGCTGTCTATTGTTACTGTAATGTAGTTGAGCACCTTTATTAGTTAGCTTTGCTTTTGCATCCTGACTCATTATCTGGAATTTAAAGGAAGGAAACAAGGACGGGTATTTTCCTGTTTGTTATGCTGAGGTAAAAGCAAACAAACAAACAAAGCCCCCTTTCTTTATTCTAGAATTTATGAAACATTCCTAACTTGTGAATTAATCCAAGAGTTTATTTCAGTGTTTAAAATTAACTGAAATCCTAAGAACCAGCAAACAAAACTCATGCAAATTTAGTGCAAGGTTTTTCTGGACTTTGTTCTTCTTACCATTAGCACACTTTTACTCCTTAACCAAATCCTACAATTTTCCTTTTAGGATTCAACATTTTCTATCATTCTTTCAGGTGTGTTACTGATGTAGACAATCTGCACTGGGAAAAAAAAAAAAAAAAAAAAAAAAAAAGAGAGCCTTCTTACTAACAAAATTCTGTCATTTTCAGAACTCAGGGGTAAGGCTGCAACCGGCAAAGTGATGTGACATTCATTGGACTATGTGTGCAACATTAATTATTTTTTAAAAAGCCAAGCAGACAGTGGAGGCTGTAAGATGACTCTTTGGGTGGCCCCAGCTGGCAGAAAAAATTCTTGAGGAGCTCAGAGTTCCAGTAATGGGATGGGAAGGGAAGGACAAGGCACATCAGGATTCCCTTGAACTGGAAAAATGGGAGTTAAAGCAAGACTGAGCTGCACTGTCCAACTTGGAAAGCATGAACTGACACACAGCAATTCGAGATAAGGCCCTGGGTTCTTTACATGAATAACTGAGCTTTAATAAAGGGATTTTAATCAGGATTCAGGAAAGACTTTTCTGCTTTTGCAGTTTATTACAGCGAAATCTGCCTAATCTGTTGATAGAGCTCCAAAACACACAGGTCAGTGCTGTGATGTGTTAGCAGTGAAACATTTGCCAAAACCTATTGAAATTTTCTGTGTACTTCAAACACTGGCATTTTGAGGAGAAGCTGGTGCCACCTATCATCAAAAAGGAGGAAATTAAATACCAAAGTGAAGTGTTCAAACTGGCGAAACTTCTATTTTCATTGCAAAGCTGATTGTTTTATATTAAAAATGGCAATTAGCAAGATGCTCAGGGTGATTCTGGGTGAGGTGCTGACCTGGCCACTCTCACCCTGCAGAGGAGGTCAAGGCTAGGCAGATCCTGGATGTTCTGGTCTTGCTGACCAAAGGAGAGTTATGAAATTACAATCTCCATCGAGGATGCAAATGCAAGTCCAACAGATCAGTTGAGGTCCAAACTCATCACAATTAAGTAGTTAAATGTTTTTGTGAATCTGGACCTAAATAACTTTTGCTCCACTTTTTCTCTTTTTAGACAGTACAAGTCATTTTGAGTCACTCTTGAGAGCAGAGTGTGGGTTCAGTAAAGTGGCACAGGTATTTTGAAAATGTTTTTCCTTCTTTGAAAAGGTACATTTGGAATGATAACCCCGTTGGAAATTTTGTTTCAATTACTCAGAATACATCCTAGCATGTCAAAGCCATGTTTTTTCTTCACAGTCTCAAGCTATCATAATACTGAGGCCCAGGATACTGCATTGTGCCTTCTTTTTCTGAAAAGAAAGGAATTTCAAAGCTTCAGTGAGGGGCAGTGAGGGATTTGTGTTGTGTTCAGCCTTATTGGAAAAAAGTCACGAACTTTTCATCTCTTAGGGGCCTGCTTCATGTTTTGATCCTGGAGCCAAATCATCTTTCTTAAGTCTGAATCAGAGACCCTTTTTTCTAGCCATCAGGCCAGGGTGACACAAGGCTTTTCTTCCTCTTTATGACTCTGTGTAACTATTAAACCTATTCAAGACCTTACAATTCTAATGGTTTTTGAAGTAAATTTTTAAGTTCTTTGCCTGAGCACAAGTCAAAACAGTGGACCTTTAGGTTGTCTTTCTTTCTTTTCCTTTGAAATGCATTGATAAATGCATGGGTGATAAATTTAGTCTGAGGCAAATGCACACAGCATTATGTCTCGCAGAAATGTTCTTTGATACAGCCTCTGAAAATTCAGCTTAAATAGAAAAATGCTGGCTGCTTAGAAAAATGAGGCTCCTAATCAGTTAATTTGTGCCAGGCCTGAGGTCTTCATAAAAACCAGTAGGTTTAATGTGCCATATATACATATCATCTATATATTAATATTCTAAACACTCTAAAATAAATAACACTCTAAAAACTACTTCTCCTCTTGATAATGTGCTGATAAAGTCTGATTCAAGATAAGGTTCTGACTCACTTAGTCTGTAAATATCAGTGTGACATATATCACAGAGCTCTTATGGCACACAGAGGCCAAACAGTAGAAGAGCATCAACAGCATCATAATAGTGGAAAAGGAGATGACAAGTAAAAACTATTTTAAATGTGTTTTTACAGTCTACACCTCCACCATCCCTCCCTCCCTCCCTCCCTCCTCTCATTCCCCAAGGTGAATCTCTTGCTGCCAGAACTAAGAAGTTCTGTTCTAGTGATGTTTTGTTGTACCTTATCACATAAAACAAATGTTTTTCCAAAAGCTTTCTCACATGAAGGCAATGAAGTAAATCTAATCTCTAACGCTCAAATCAGGCTTACAGAAGGGCAAAGAGGACTCACTTTGGCTTGGATGACATTTATGGCCAGCAAGCAGCTCATGGACAGGAAAAGGCAGCATGCTGTTCTCTGTAGGGTGTACAATCTGAAACAATTTTATCAGAAATGCTAGATAAAAATCTTAATAAGCTGGAGTTAAACAACTGGTTGGTTTTATCTTGGAGGCAAAAAAAAAAAAAAAACCAAACAAACAAAACCCTACTACATTAAAAATTTGCCATATGCACAGTAACTTTCAGTTAGTAATTAAATTCTCACAACATCCTTCCACAGTGCCAGGCAGAGCATATTGGCTTAGGCTGGCCTGGTTGTCGAGCGTGAACTGAAATGATTTCTAACAGCAATCAAATACATTTTGAAATATGCTCATAAAAATGCTAGCTCAGAGGCTCAAAGCAATAATGATTCATGTATTAGCAAATGAACCTGTCCTCTGCAAGCTAGCCCCTGAAATGTAATAAAGGGTCTGTCCAAGAAAAGAAAAAAAGTGTGTTTATTAAGATGTTGAGAGGTAATATTTTGGGATGGGAGTTTGGGGTGACATCTATTCAACATGTATGGATTGAGGTGTTGGACTGGCCTCCAGAAACCAATTTTGTCAAGGGTGCCTTTATCAAATCAATATCCACAGAAGGATTTAGGTAATGTACTTGCCAGAATCCTTATGTACCCAAGGGAAGATCTTTGGTCCCCGTATG